CAACACTCTCGACACCCATACCACCCAGAACACCCATCACACTATTCATGTGTACAAGTATATGCATACTATGTACTAGCCAACACTCTCGACACCCATACCACCCAGAACACCCATAATACTTTTCATGTGTACAAGTATATGCATACTATGTACTAGTCAACACTCTCGACACCCATACCACCCAGAACACCCATAATACTTTTCATGTGTACAAGTATATAAATACTATGTACTAGTCAACACTCTCCACACCCATACCACCCAGAACACCCATAATACTTTTCATGTGTACAAGTATATGCATACTATGTACTAGTCAACACTCTCCACACCCATACCACCCAGAACACCCATAATACTTTTCATGTGTACAAGTATATGCATACTATGTACTAGTCAACACTCTCGACACCCATACCACCCAAAACACCCATCACACTATTCATGTGTACAAGTATATACATACTATGTACTAGCCAACACTCTTGACACCCATACCACCCAAAACACCCATCACACTATTCATGTGTACAAGTATATACATACTATGCACTAGCCAACACTCTTGACACCCATACCACCCAAAACACCCACAACACTATTCATGTGTACAAGTATATACATACTATGCACTAGCCAACACTCTTGACACCCATACCACCCAAAACACCCATCACACTATTCATGTGTACAAGTATATACATACTATGCACTAGCCAACACTCTTGACACCCATACCACCCAAAACACCCACAACACTATTCATGTGTACAAGTATATACATACTATGTACTAGCCAACACTCTTGACACCCATACCACCCAAAACACCCATCAACTATTTCATGTGTAAATTAACATACTATCGTACAGCCAACACTCCTCGACACCATACCACCCAAACACCCATCACACATTCAATGTGCAAGTATATACATAGTAGTACTAGGCCCAACACTATACTCTCGTAAACCATACCACTCAACACCCATCACTATTCATGGTATCAAGTATATTACATACATGCAACTAGCCAAACTCTCGACAACACCCATATACCCACCCAAACACCACATCCAACCACATTCATGGACAAGTATAACATACTATGTACTAGCAAAAATCTCGACACCCATACCACCAAAACCACCCATCCACACTATTCAATGGGTAAAGTATAACATACTGCACTCCAACATCTCCACCCATACACCCAAAACACCCATCACCACTATTCAATGGTACAAGTATTATACATACTATTGATAGCCAAACACTTCTGACACCATACCACCAAACAACCCATCAACACCTATTATGTGTACAGTTATACATACATACCTAGCCAACACTCCCTCGACCACCCCATACCACCCAAAACACCCATCACACTATATGTGTACAGGTAATATACACATCTATGTACTAGCCAACACCACCTCGACACCCAATACCAACCCAAAACACCCATCACACTATCCATGGTGTATGTGACACCCAATTAGCTTTTCTTGAATTCCTGTTACTGAATTACACAAATATGAATTTAGGGCACGAATTTGTTAACGGATGTTTATACATATGAATACGAGGGGGATCCCGCTAAGCCATCAGGTGCTCGTAACTAAGTTCTAGGCAACCCGAGCAAAGGCAAGCTACGGTCTATCAAAAGATTAAGGCGTTGGTAGCGGCAAAAATTAAAGGCAATGGCGCTTCAGGTAAGTGAATAACACACAATCTTGTTGAAAGATGTAAGGCATCAGAAGAATAATATATGCTATTCTGGTAGAGGAAAAAGGATGATATTGCCAGGTTTGCAATTTTATTTGGCCATGTTATTAGTTAATTTGATTTTGCCAAACGGAAGTCAAAACAAAAATCTTCACAATTATATAATGAAGAAGGTAAAATTATTCATGAGAGGGAGCGCCGAAAATATTTGGAGAGGGGTAACTCATTAGAAGAGGAACCTGCTTTGAAATTCAACCGATGCTTCTTTTTACAAAATTAATCACAACTTGTTATTGGAATCATTTTGGCAAAATATTACAAGATTTCAATTCATCCGATTGAAATCTTTGTCGATTTTGCATAAACTAACTGGTGTGACATCTCGGGTATTTAAATTGTCGTTACCCCTGCAAATTATTTTAATGGTATATTCCTATCAGTTGTTGCAGAAGTAAACTTTCCCAATTAAAAACAGCATAGTTTAAAATTAAATATTTTAAACCTGATGACATGATTGCAAGATTTTGCAGGTCTCCATATGTTTTCATAATTTGGGGGGGGGGGCGCTCGTTGGATAGAGGGTGCTCATTAGAGAATTTTTGCTCAACAAGGGGGCGCGAATTGTATGAGAGGGACGCTCATGTTTGAAGAGATAGTCTAACTTAACATCGCAATCCGAAAAGTGGTGCGGTCATTTGTTGGGTGTGGTCCTTAAACTGACACCGGTCAGAATTTCCTGGATCCGCCCCTGTTTGCCCTGCCAGT